GCGAGCAAGGCACAAAATCGTACATATTCTCGCCCTCCTTCCAAAGGCTACCTGCCTTTGCTTTCGATCATAGTTAAGAAGAACCAGCCAATGTAGTAGGAAGCGTCGTTGCTGCAATAAGCGACAGCTTCGATATTTTCGGTCCGTTGTAGAAAAGTCTCGTCACCGACCGGCGGTCGCGTAACTTTGAAATCGCCATTTCATTCACCTCAGTAGTCGATAGAAACAAGCTAACGGAACGGCGAATGCCCACTCTCCGTCTTTTGCTCTCCGTGAACACCAAGAATGAGAGGTGCCGGTTAAACTAGCTTTAGGTTTAAGTCAGATCTGCTTCGCTAAAGAATAGCGAAAACGTTTGTGAGCGTACGATGAACGTACTTCTCCGGCTTAAGCCGACCCTCATGAACAAAATACGCTAGTTTGTAGTGAAACTTTGGTTCCGGATGCGGCTAACGGCCATCCCTGTCCGGATCGCCTTCGCTAGCACATTTCGTCGGGTCAGTTCACCGGTGCTGAAACCGTGCTTCATCGACTAGTGAAACATTTCGTTGTTTACACCGGTGGCTGATTCCCAACGATTGGCGTCTCGCGTAAACAACTAAGTTCAAGTGTATTAGCTTGTGCAACGGTTGTTGCTATCAGCATAAGCGCATCCGTTACTCTTGCATTAAACAGGTTCAACACTCAGGAAATGTACATACACAGATGGTTAATGACAAGTCAGAATAGCATGTGCAAGTGGTCTAAAAGTTACCGTCCCTCAACCATGAGTTCAGTCAAGTTCAAATTTGAAATTCTCAAATTTTCAAAGTAAAATTATTGCGAATGTTGCCCAGTGTTCGCAATTACGGAGCGGCGGATAGTCGATATACCTGATCCTAATGAGTTCGCTTCTAGACGAAGAACAGCAACCGACGGTACAATCGTCCGTCTAATAGATCAGTCTGCGCAAGAACTTCATGAATGTAGGCGAATAGTAAACTCGCTCGAGCTACGGTCTGTCTTTAACACTGTTACGCAAGATCAAGTGCTCCGAAAGCTAGGCACACTATCCATCGATTCCCTCATCATGTACACTGCTTGTAAACGACGGCATAGTCATCTAATGTCAAACTGCCACATACTCAGGTGTCCTTTTGTTACCTGAACTTACCCGACATGCAAACGTACAGTCTCTTACGACCAAGTGTTGTAAGGTCTCACTTTACGTAAAGCGTCGTCTGAGCAATGTGCATGCACCACACGATGCGAGTGAACGAATTTAACTTTGCGCTTATTCTACCACTTTAAACGGTGCAGCAGCAGCGATCTTCCCAGGCCTGCCAACGTGCTATTTCAAGGCGCTACGTCGATCAGTGAGATATAAATCTCTGTAATAAGCGGCATTTCATAAAATGATATACCGAAACTCCGACGGGTAAGAAATCGCGGACAACAGTACTAATCAGAATTGCACGGCAGAGCCTCGCAACGCCTGTCACGAAACATCAACCGGATCCAGGTATGCCAATGCTCAGCCAGTAAGATGTACGGAAGATGATCTGTAAACGCAGGCTCAGACGATGAGCTACCCAGTCCCGCAACAGGTTTCCTAAAAAAAACGGTACTAGAATTTGCTCGATGTAACGGTTCGTCTCCGCCGGATTCCTGTTGTGGTTCCGCACTGGTTTTACAGGCGGTTTTTTGTTCACCCACAGTTTTCTAAGCGTGCAAGTTGAATTCTACTGATTCGATGTTTTTCGTTTTCTTTTGTTTTGCCGAAAAAATGGAAGAACTGTTTGGGGACAGTCTCTTTCAGAGATTTCAGACATTCGAACTCTAGCCGTTCAGAAACGAGTTTAAAGCGTTTTAGACGTACCTGCATGTCGGTTTTCATCACAGATTCCGGATGCACGGTTTCGGTATGATACTTCACTTTGTCTTCGGTCCAAAACCGTGAAGTGCAGTAAGGTTTGCCGAGGTGAGTGCGAACGTGGCTGCCGATGCATTCGGACGATATTCGTTCCTTGCAGATCTGACACTCGTACACCTTGAAGCCTTCCGAAGATTCCTGGCAGACGACGGACGCCTTGCCAATGGACGGAATATCGCCTAAGACCGACTCGTCGATGCTGCAGCAACTGTCGGACAAGGCCAGCGAGGTGGCATTCGGAAAACACTTGGATTTCATGCGCGCGATCTTCTCCTTGATATTCTCCTCGGCACGGATCTCGACCGAGTCTCCACTGACGCTGTGCACGTGCTCGACGTGTCGTCGAGCCTTCGACTGCTCGCACGACATGTAATGGCAGTACGGGCATCGGTACGGCTTGTAGTTCAGGTGGTTCTTGACGTGGATGCCGATGGATTTCGGATTGTCGGCTATGTTGCAGGTGCACACGCGACAAATCAACTTCCGCAGTACCGTTCCGCTGCTGGCTGATCCCTGAAAGCCAACCGCCGGAGTACTGCTACTACTGCTCGGACTGCTACCGCCGCTGCCTGGAAAATTGGAAATAATGCTGAAGTCCGGAAAGCACCTCTGCACTGAGTTCGTCTGCGCCCAATCGGAACCATTAATAACCTGAAAGATGTGCAATCTTTATGGAGTGCCATCTGCGGCTAATAAGCAGCATTTTATTATTCGGTTCTGAGACAATTCTTAAAGTTAATTTTGATCCACGGTTTTAGACATGAATAAGTTAAAATAGCTACGGTATTCTCGTGGGCGTGTTCCGTTAGAACAGTGACCGCATCATTACCACACTAATAGTAATTATCATATAAGCAGTAAAATAGAAATTTTCGTAGAACATTAACCGTTCGTCTCTGAACGTGCTTCTTTCAGCCAGGTATGTAGAAACAATCATTCAATGAACAGATGTCATACAACATCCAATATTACAGGTTTGCAAATCTCATCTAAATTCTTCTTTTTCTTCCTTGATAGAACTGCCTCTTCAATGATTCTAGATGACATAAGGTACAGATAAATGGTTTTTATTACGGCTACTGACGGTACCGTACCACACTGGCAGTCTTCAAGGAAAACAATGGCTATGACAAACAACAAAAGTTATTTTTTTTTTATAAATCTATAAACCTACATCCAACTACAGTAAAAAATGAAGTTGTTCGCAAAGCGACGGAGCACCTTCTCAGTTCCGATCGCAGTTGCGGAGAACCGAGTCTCGAGTTCAATTGCTTTCACAGTTTACTTATCGTACGGGTCGACGCAGTCAGTTAGTGTCATTACTATACTCTCTTCGACAATGTCACCTGATATCTGGAAATAAGAAGTCGCAGAACACGAGTACCTCGGTTCACAAGGTCCGACATCAGTCAATACCTACGTCTCAGAAGATCATTCTCTGGACACAAACTCACTAGGCTAGCTTTCATGTACCAAACCGATTTGAACGACTCTGGAGTGCTGCTGGGCTCTGGCCTGTCACTAACTCACTTTAGCAGTCAAACTGACTCATGCTGAAGCAGTAGCCGGCATCAAATGTGCCAAGACTACGGTTATGTGTCTATTAAATCGAATGATGACGTAGAAGAACGACGAAAACTGACACCGAAAAACGAAAATCACCCAGGAAGGACCGCTGTTGAACACGTCGACATAGGCAGAAGGTGTGCCTTCATGGCACACGGTACAAGAAACGAACAGCATGTTGACACAGACTACTCTGCCGTCAAAGCAAGATATCAGTCATACTGACAGACGATCCGAAATGGCCATTTCATGTCTCGTCAATTTCTCGAAAATTCGGAGCGCGTTCATTTATCTGTAGCACCTGGTCGGAACGGTGTGCCAGATTATGGCTGGACGAAGATGCCCCTACGTTGTCTGTGATTACCTACGTCGGCCGGGCGAGTAATATTATCCGGTCTGGCCGGTGCTGATTCCCAAATGCTCCGGCGGTCATTCGCCTAGTCTA